CCAAGGAGATGCCACATTTTACGACTATTTTTAAACGTGTTTTTACTTTACCTCGAAGTTTTTCAACATTTTCGTCGATATTAATGATTCTGGCCCCTCCAGCGTCTTACCCAAGTGTGTGTGTGTGTGTAAAATGGGAATGTAATCACCACCACACAATAAAGTTACGTATACACAACATATTTGGTATAGGGTGGGTCCAGGAGTATATTGTGCACACGTGTATGTGGCCAACTCTGGGTGTGCTCCCCAGTCACCAGGTGCCGGACATGATAAGGAAAATAACACAACGTAACACAACCAGTCCTTTACGCAAATATTACGGTACTCTGTCATCATAAACTTTTAGGCTGTCACAAAAGATAATAATAATAATAATAATAATAATAATAATAATAATAATAATAATAATATTAACAAAGAAAATAATTTTGAAGCAATGGAGTGACTTGAACTTGGCAATGGAGTTCAAGTTACTCAATTGCCTCAAAATTATTTTTATTTATATATCACGCAGTCCCCCCCCCCAATGCGCTGTGGACACCAAAGCCAGAGCGCATGGGGGGGGGGGTCTGGTAGCTGAGTGGACAGCGAGCAGGATTCGTAATTCTGTGGCCCGGGTTCGATTCCCGGACAAGGCAGAAATAAATGGGCAAAGTTTCTTTCACCCTGAATGCCCCTGTTACCTAGCAGTAAATAGGTACCTGGCAGTTAGACAGCTGTTACGGAGCTGCTTCCTGGGTGTGTGGGAAAATAAATAAATAAATAGTTAGTAACAGTTGATTGACAGTTGAGAGGAGCAAAGAGCAAAGCTCAATCCCAAATTGTCTATACAGTATACCTAGGTCATAAAAGTATTTGTGTGTACGTCTGATACCATACTACTTGTGTTAAGGAGGAATGTATATGTTTATCTCTCAGAATGTTTGGTAATATGTTTATTGTTTGTGATGTGTGTCTATGTATGTATTAACACGATGCACTGAACGGGGTGAGAATAGCTTGAGCTACCTCATCCCTTTGTGTGTATTTTACCTCAATAAACTTATTTCAATTTCGATTTCAAGCTCAATTCCCGCAAAGCACAACTAGGTGAATACAAGACAAAGCATACTCAAGCCTTGGGGTGCCCTATACGCTGTGCGACACAATTCTTCACTTATTTATATCTGCAAGAGATAAGGTTTATTCCAGGTTGGAGGCCAGACGCGTCAGGGTAGACTCATTAAATATTGCAGGATTAATTGAGATTTCATCTGGAGTGTCATAGCGGGGTCAGGGTCAACACTGCCCCGCAGACTCTCCTTCACGAAGTCTGTGGATGTGAAATTATTTACCCCGAGTCCGTAGTCCTGTTGACTAAGCTCTCACAAGTCAAGCCTGGCCTCGAGCCGGGCTTGGGGAGTAGAAGAACTCCCAGAACCCCATCAAGCAGGCAGTCTTGGGGCATTTGTATAAAAGATGACACATTTACATTCTAAGAGCAAGCATTTGGTTAGTGGTCGAGATAATGATTGATTGATTGATAAAGATTAAGCCACCCAAAAGGTGGCACGGGCATGAATAGCCCGTAAGTGGTGGCCCTTTTGAGCCATTACCAGTATCAATAGATGATACTGGAGATCTGTAGAGGTGCGACTGCACCCTTCGTGACGGGAGATGTCTCCCGTGGAGATAATGATTGATTGATTGATAAAGATTAAGCCACCCAAAAGGTGGCACGGGCATGAATAGCCCGTAAGTGGCGGCCCTTTTGAGCCATTACCAGTATCAAGAGCTGATACTGGAGATCTGTGGAGGTGCGAATGCACCCTGCGTGACGGGAGATGTCTCCCTTGTGAATGTGTTAAGATGAAGATGAAGCCACCCAAAAGGTGGCACAGGCATGAATAGCTCGTAAGTGGTGGCCCTTTTGAGCCATCACCAGTATCAATAGATGATACTGGAGATCTGTGGAGGTGCGACTGCACCCTGCGTGACGGGAGATGTCTCCCAGACCAAATGGTGATGTGCTCAGTGGAGATAATGAAGAGGGAATATGGTTATATATGGTGGAGATGGAGGGGTGTGTGGAGGAGGACAGGGGGTTGGGGTCGAGAACGAGATGGGGAGGGGGGGGAGGATTTTTTTAGGGGGGGAGGGAGGATTTGGGGTGGCGTGAAGAGGGAGGTTGGTGAGTGTGGCCTCTGGCCGGGCTCGGGGAGTAGAAAAACTCCTGACATACTCTCCAGGTATGCTCCAGGTGTGGGACGGAGACTGGGGACGGGGAGTGGGGTTTGTGGAAGGGAGCCGAGGGAGAGCGTGTCCTGGGTATACTGGGTCGACGCCCATTTAGTAAGGTATATCTAATAGTTAACCTGGAGGATCTTCCCAACCCTTCCTCTCACCTAATGCGTCGCAGTGTTAACGGAGTGGTCTATTCCTGCACAACGCGACATTCGTAAAAGAGCACCGTAATATTGAAGTTTTGTATGCATCGGCCTATAGGTTAGGTGGGTTGGTTAGGTTCGTTAGTTTCTTCTTAGGCAAAACAGTTTCATTTTCTAGCGAGTGACAAGTGGAGAGTTCGAGGTGGAATAGACACTCAGGATCTGCTCCTATCCCACACAGGAGACATCTCCCGTCACGCAGGATGCAGTCGCACCTCCACACATCTCCAGTATCATCTATTGATACTGGTAATGGCTCAAAAAGGCCACCACTTACGGGCTATTCATGCCCGTGCCACCTTTTGGGTGGCTTAATCTTCATCACTCTTCAATCAATCCTGTCCCATGATAACTGCTGTCTCACCTCTCCCTGTGAAGATCACCTCACTCCTACCTTCCTCTCTCACTCTTCATGAGTGATCTGCCTACGCTTATCTTGACTCGCCAGTTTTACCACTGGGAAAAAACCCTGTTACTTATTCACAGTGAGTGGATGGGGTGATGAGTGATGAACAAGACGTGCAAGTATAAGGCTCTTGATACTGATACCGACCCTGGCGTGAGGTTGTGCCTCATAGTTCTCAATGTGTCACCGCCACTATTGTAAATTCACATTGATACTCATAATGTATTATATCTCATGAAACACATCGTGCAATTTTAGTACTTCTTCCCTCAGTTCCAGTTATTGCAACAATGCCTCTGGAACAATATCACTTATCACCTGCGTTGTTCCCTAACGTTCCACAGTTGACTGTCACGCCAGTGTTCCACGGCATACATCCCCGCGTGAAGATAATTCCTTGGAATGGGAATTACTGTGATTCCTCAGTTCACTGTGAATACCTTGCTCATTGTCTGCACAATGGTCGCTCGTCCCATAAACCGTGGACGGCTTAATATGGGCCGCCCGCCGCCCGATCTTCTGGACAAGGTCGCCAGTTGGCTTCCTGGTACAGCAAGTATATACCTTCCTATATACCTTGCTATACCTTCCTGGTATAGCAAGTTGGTACAGTAAGTATAAATATGACATCAACGTGACCTCACACACCTTGTGCACATCATATAAGTTGGGATAGGGTCAGGTTGGGATAGGTGAGGTGAGGTCGGGTCAGGTTAGGCTGAGATAAAGACCAGCGATGACGAAGAGGGACCCATACTTTTCTCAGGTCTTAGATCCCAATAATTCCCTCACCCGACGCACGCCAAGGCTCACTCCTCACCTCTTGCCAAGGAACTTCTCAAGTTCAGACAGATCTGGGCCAGAATTTATCAAGCATTTACGCATCTACTTACGAAACCTATACATCTTATGTTAATCTTGACGGCTTTGTTTATTAAACAGTTTAAGAGTTCGGAAGCACTGTGAGGAAATTTAAAACAATAATATACTTGGGTTATGAAGTCTTCACGCTGGTAATCTGTTTAATAAATGTAGAAAAAGTCGCCATGATGGTTGAAAGATGTACAGGTTTCGTACGTAGTTGTGTAGATGCTTGGTGAATCCTGTCCCTGCTTCTGTTGGCAGTCCGTTCTCGCCAGCGTTCCCAACGTCAAGAAACTATCGTACTAAAGTGTCTTATCCTAAGTTACTAGAGGACCCCGCGAACAGAAAACGGGACGTTATGTCAATTTGGCGAGCCGCTTCCATTTTCTAGTACAGTAACACTGTTGAATGTCACCATTGGTCACTGTAATCAAGTACGGCTGTTATTGTACAACTGTGGTAACACTCGCTGTAATGGTGTTATACATTGACTACCTAGATGGAAAGTAACGTAGTTCAAGTTCAAGTATGTTTATCGAGACAAGAAAAAATACATCTCAAAGGGATAGAGTAGCTTAGGCTATTTCTACCCCCCTAACGTAGTGTAGTAACGTAGTGTATTATGTGTGAAGGCGTATTGGTACCAGCTAGTAATGCGTAATTGAGTGCCTTCAACATGTGGCTACCAAGGTAACAACACTCAAGTGGAATACATTGTGTACTGAACAAATCCACAAGGGCCGCGACGAGGATTCGAACCTGCGACCGGGAGCATCCCAGACGCTGCCTTAATCGACTGAGCTACGACATGGTCATCAAATTGTTCATTTGATGCATTACGCTATTGTGGTTTCTGTGTGTATTGTATATTGAACTTGTGGCCAAGAGACTGACTGATTAGTGGATTTTTTTTACCTCAGAAAAGTCGACTCGGTTAAAGTGGCTCAGAGCATATATAGTGTGTGTTAAGTGTGTCGTCTGTGTACAGAGGTTGAAAGCAGTTAACCACGAGTTGCAGTGAAAGTTAGAATGCTGCACACCATTCTAACTGGGCAGGCTAAAGGTAAAGCAGAGATGTGCATTATTTGTTTGCGAACGGACTAAATATATTCACCGTGACCAAATATATTTATATTTAATTAATTTGACTTTATGTATGTTTAACATTTGTATAAAATGTTAATGTTAAGTCATCACGCGACTTAGTAATGGTCCGCGACGGACCGAAACGTCGTTGTCTCTCTATTTTCTGATGTTTGGTTTGATGTAACATTTTCTGACGTTGATGTTTTCATTTGCAGGTAAGTAGAGAGAAGTGGGTGAATGGCAGCGTGGTGTATAATGAACAGGAGATGGGTGGACTACATGGTTCTGCAGTGAGAAACGTAAGTAGTGGCTGGCACCCCTCACTGACCTCTTCCTGTTCTATACGTGTTAGTATAACCCTTCTTACCTACTTCTTATACTTCACTGGGTATTACCTACTTGTCTTTGGTGTTTGTAAGTAGGAATAGTTTGGTGTTTATGGGCCTCTCTTGCTCTTTATCAAGACTGGTCTGGTGTAAGTACGATTGGTAAATTGTTGCTTGCCACAACTTGACAGGTGCTTGTCAGGTCATGAGGGTTTGACACCTTTACACAGGACCTCTACAGTGGTGGCCTGTTTGTGTAAATTGCCCGTTTAAGTTGTCATAGTTCAGCATGTCCTTTGAAACTTGCTTGTTCCGTCATGTATTAATGTACTTGGCCTTATCTGTTAGTGTTGATATTATGAATAGTGTCCTGCAAGGTCAGGTTTCCCCAACAGATATAATTAATTTGCATCGAAACAAGAATTTTAGTTTTACTCTGTAACCTTGAGGTTACCTTGAGGTGCTTCCGGGGCTTAGCGTCCCCGCGGCCCGGTCGTCGACCAGGCTTCCTGGTTGCCGGACTGATCAACCAGGCTGTTGGACGCGGCTGCTCGCAGCCTGACGTATGAGTCACAGCCTGGTTGATCAGGACTGACTGTAGGTCAGTCTGTTGAGGACTTCCTCGCCACAACGACTGTCACACTTTATATTTGTTACTCAAATGTGTGTAGTAGAAGGTGAATGTCTCGCAGGTAGTTATCTTGAGATCTTGAGGTTATCTTGAGATGATGATGAAGATTAAGCCACCCAAGAGGTTATCTTGAGATGATTTCGGGGCTTTTATAGTGTCCCCGCGGCCCGGTCCTCGACCAGGCCTCCACCCCCAGGAAGCAGCCCGTGACAGCTGACTAACACCCAGGTACCTATTTTACTGCTAGGTAACAGGGGCATAGGGTGAAACAAACTCTGCCCATTGTTTCTCTGCCGGCGCCTGGGATCGAACCCAGGACCACAGGATCACAAGTCCAACGTGCTGTCCGCTCGGCCGACCGGCTCCCGCAGGTGTGTGAGTATTCCTGCTCACTTAGCAATTTTGTGAAGGTGAATGTAGCTCCACAGCCTGACTTAGTGCCGGAGGAGATATGTACCAGGGGCCAGATTCACGAAGCAGTTACGCAAGCACTTACGAACCTGTATATCTTTTCTCAATCTTTGGCGACTTTGATTAAAATTATTAAACAGTTAATGAGCTCCGAAGCACCAGGAGGCTGTTTATAACAATAACAACAGTTGAACGGGAAGTTTTCATGCTTGTAAACTGTTTAATAAATGTAACCAAAGCCGTCAAAGATTGAGGAAAGATGGACATGTTTGTAAGTGCTTTCGTGAATCTGGCCCCTGGTTCTACAGTAGGGCCTTATCGACGTGTAGTGATGATTGGATAACCTTCTAGAGCTTACGGACAATAGTTCATGGCAGATAAAGACTGAAAGCTATGGCAGGTAAGTATAACAAAATTATTTATATGAGAACGTAGAATAATAAGTGGGCTGAGTGCAGAAGACGCCCCGTTAAGAGGGATGTGTGAAAGAAAGATGAATAACCCTTCATTTTCCAGCTCAAATTTTGGTCATTGTAGACGTCAAGTGCAGCGAGAAGGTAAGTGGAAGTTACTTCTCGAATGTTCACCCCCAAACGCAGCATTTTTTCAGGCTGAGAATGTGATTGGAAATATTGACATACTGGCGGGAGAGAAGTGGTGGTGGTGAGGTGGTGGTGACTCTCTGTGGCCAGTGGAGCAACACCGCTGAGCTTAAAGAAGCTTTTGCTTGGGGCAACGCGCTTAAAGTGGGATATACTCTCTAGTTCCCACACTAGTATACTAGTCCCACCCTCCCCACTACACCCTTCCCACATTAGTATACTCTCCCACACACTAGTATACCCGCCTCATACTAGCACACCCCTCCCACACTAGCACACCTTACCTATACTAGTGTAATACCACTATTGTGACAGCTCTAGATACCATAAATATGACCAATCAGTATAGACGCTCAGATGATCTGAGCTCTGAGTAGCCAACTGGAGGGAGGGAGGGAGGGAGGGAGGGAGGGAGGGAGGGAGGGAGGGAGGGAGGGAGAGAGAGAGAGAGAGAGAGAGAGAGAGAGAGAGAGAGAGAGAGAGAGAGAGAGAGAGAGAGAGAGAGAGAGGGAGGGGGGGGGGGGAGGGGGAGAGAAAGAGGGAGAGAGAGAGAGAATGTGAAAGAATGAATGTGAATGAATAAGTTGGGAGACGGGAAGAGAGATTGAGAATGTAAGAGAGGAGAGAAGGAGAGGTAATAACTGCTACTCTGGACACACACACACTGGAGTTGCCGCCACCCTGAGAGACCAGACAGGTCACCGCGAGATAAAGAAGCCAGGACAATTACCTGGTTGATTACCTGGTTTGATTCTATTTATTACCTACATTTCTGTCGCTCGTCTGAACGTGATTAGTTGTTGATATTCTTGCAGGGCAGATGTGTGGGCCGGAATAAATGGCTTAAGGATCCTGGACTGACAAATGAATACTCCTGAAACCACTTGTGGTTACTATACAGGAGGAGCAGAGCTGGACACCAGTACTGGCCTCACCTTAATAGGGGAAGGGATAAGGGGTGGGGGGTACCTGGCAATTAAGGGCAGCAGGTCATGGAGGAAGAGAAGGGTAAGCCCAGTATAACGTCGGCAGCTGCCATTAATAGTCACGGGGATGACAATTTATAAACACTGCTTTATTTAGCACCTTAGAAGGATACTCCATAACTATAAGAACTCCACCAGGGCCGAGATGAGGGTTCGAACTGTGAGACGTTCTGTATACCCTAACTATAGTTCCCTAATATAGGCAAATGTAATTGAATGATATAAGGTGGTGGGTGCAAGAGAGCCGTACTTACTACTACCACAGTGAATTCCACTCGACCTTACTGTACTCGACGTTCGTCCTCCAGAATCTTGGATCACACACACACACCCACACACGCAGTCCAAACACACACACACTCTCCCTCATCAGTTTGATTCTATTTATTACCTACATTTCTGTCCCTCGTCTGAACGTGATGTTATACACAGCAGTAAGGGGCAGGTGGGATCCTTGGCATCCTTTGATGCACAAGTGGTAATCCTTGTGGACTAGCATGACAGCATTATAACTGTCAACTGTGTGACCTCTTGCACCGTTGACCCGAGTTGACCTGACCCTTGGTTAACGCCAGCCTTACTGTGGTGTGAGGTGTCATTGTGTACACCTGACTGATAGGCGCCGGGTTGTTGTTGTTATAGATTCAGCTACTCGGAACAAGTTGCAAGTAGCACGGGCTATGGTGAGCCCGTAGTGGACTTACCTGGCACATGAGCGGAGACATAGGCGCCGGGCCCAGCCGCTCCTATTGTTGCTGTTGTGTTGTGTGTTGCCCTCTTGTAACACTAATATACTCTGAACAAATCCACAAGGGCCGTGACGAGGATTCGAACCTGCGTCCGGGAGCATCTCATCCCATCCTTGTGGATTTGTTCATTTGATGCATCACGTTAGTGTGATCTGTGTGACTAATATACTCTCTCTCTCCCCATTAATGATCCCTCCCCACGGTAGTGTGCCTCTCCCCACACTGTACACACTCCCCACGGTCCGTCTAATTACCACAAGCTACACAACCTTCAGAAAGCTTCCTGGCAATACGTTAGTAATGAATAAATATGATATATTTACTCATTATAATGTTGGGGCTGAATGTACAACACGAAAAAACATAATTTTAATCTGAAAAAGTATCTTTTTATAAAGAAATTAGGCGAAAATAAAAAGCTGGTGACGCCAAATCAAGTCGACGATCGGTTAGGTTAGGTTAGGTTAGGTTAGGTTAGGTTAGGTTAGGTTAGGTCAGCCTAACCTAACATATCATATTTATTCATTACTAACGTATTGCCAGGAAGCTTTCTGAAGGTTTTGTAGCTTGTGGTAGCTTGTGGTAATTAGACGGACCCACTCCCCACACTAGTACGCCAGTTCCCCCCAGCCCATCCTCCTGGTTTGGTAGTACTTATAGTAACGACGAGGACCCTAGTATATATACCCACCCATAACGAAATTAGAAAGTAGAAATCTGAACTATTGAGTTAGACAAACCGGAAAACTATTTTCTGCTTGTGTTTGACAAACTAACCTAACCTAACCTTCCTAGGCGGCCTAATACACGATATCTGAGGCCTAATATGTACATGTGTGTGTTACACTAGCCATGGGAATATTTAAGTTTTTGTTTTTTTGCTTTATTGATTTTGAGAGAATTCCTTACTAGTGAGTATACTACTATTTAAAAGCTAAGTACGCACGAATTCGTGACTATTGCCGCCCGTCACAACAGGTACTGTCTAAACAGGAGGACGGGTTGCTGCCACCACACTTGTACACTCTCTTTGTCCCCCAAGTGCTCGCTTGAGCCCCCAGGCTCCCCCCCACCAAGTGATATAAGATGCTCAAGAATCATTAACGTGAGAGAAGAATTGAACCTGTTCTCTTTGTTGATAATGACTTTTTGCACAAGTGTGTTGAGAGCTGCGACATGAGCAGCCTCACTCATTACTGCAGCGGCAGTTGCTAACACGCCACCAGCTCCCTCCTATCATAACCGGAGGAGTAAGACAGTCTCCACCTTCATCATTATGTACACTCTCATCCCAGATCCCGTCTGCCCTACACCCCCACACACACACCCTCACTAACACCGGTAATGACTCCGGCTCTTCTCGAGTCACTTGGGCTTGAAACACTTGCCAGGGGAGGAACATGTTGACGGTACGAGGCACTATGGGCTCACCATAGCCCGTGCTACCTGCAACTTTTTGTTCCGTGTAGCTGAATCTAAAACAACAACAATGGTACGAGGCAACCTGTCCTCACGCTTAATGCCTGGTTATCTTGAGGTTATCTTGAGATGATTTCGGGGCTTTTAGTGTCCCCGCGGTACGGTCCTCGACCAG